GATCTCGGCTCACCGCAACCTCCGCCTCCTGGGTTCAGGCAATTCTCCTGCCTCAGCCTCCTGAGTAGCTGGGATTACAGGCACGCACCACCATGCCCAGCTAATTTTTTGTAGTTTTAGTGGAGACGGGGTTTCACCATGTTGACCAGGATGGTCTCGATCTCTTGACCTCGTGATCCACCCACCTCGGCCTCCCAAAGTGCTGGGATTACAAGCGTGAGCCACCGCGCCCGGCCTTCTTATGTTTTTAAAGAGGCAGGGTTTCTCCATGTTGGTCAGGCTGGTCTCGAACTCCCGACCTCAGATGATCCACCCTCCTCGGCCTCCCAAAGTACTGGGATTACAGGCGTAAGCCACCATGCCCAGCGAGAAAGGGGCTTAGTATGTTGCCCAGACTGGTCTTGAACTCCTGGCCTCAAGGGATCTTCCTGCCTTAACCTCCCAAAGCATTTAGATTGCAGGCATGAGCCACCACACCTGGCCCAGGATGTTTTTGCCCCTTCAGAAAGAAACTCCATACACTTTAGCTACCACTCATCCTTCTATCTCCACAGCCCTAACTGCGGAGCTGTTAGTTAGCTAATCTACCCTGCCCCTATAGAGTTCATGATCCGTGGAATCATATAACATGTAGTCTCTTATGACTGGCATTTTTCCCTTAGCATAATGCTTTCAAGGACTATGTTGTAGCATGTGTAAAGATTTATTTTTTTTTAAGATGGAGTTTGGCTCTTGTTGCCCAGGCTGGAGTGCAGTGGCACAGTCTTGGCTCAATGCAACCTCCATCTCCTGGGTTCAAGGAATTCTCCTGCCTCAGCCTCCTGAATAGCTGGGATTACAGCTGCATGCCACCATGCCCAGCTTTCTTTTTTTGAAACAGAGTTTCACTTTGTCACCCAGGCTGGAGTGGAGTGGCACAAACACAATTCACTGCAGCCTTGACCTCCTAGGCTCAAGCAGTTCTGCCTCAGTCCACAAGTAGGTGGGCCTACAGGTACGCACCTCAACACCTGGCTGATTTTTGTTTTTTTTTTTTGTGAGCCACTGTGCTGGCCTTGGGCAGCTTTCTTAATCTCTTTCTGTTACCTCATCTATGAAATGATGATAATAATAGCTTCTCCCTTATTGAGGACTTATAATGATTAAATGAGATAACATGTAAAATGCTCAGTACAGGCTGGGCACAGTAGTTCAACACCTGTAATCCCATCACTTTGGATGGCTGAGGCCAACAGATCACTTGAGGCCAGGAGTTCGAGACCATCCTGGCCATGGTCAGGTGAAACCCCGTCTCTACAAAAATATACAAAAATTAGCTGGGTGTGGTGGCAGGCGCCTGTAATCCCAGCTACTCAGGTGGCTGAGGCAATAGAATCACTTGAACCCAGGAGGCAGAGGTTGAAGTGAGTCGAGATAGCACCACTGCACTGTCTCCAAAAAAAAAAAAAAAGGCATGGTGGCTTACACCTGTAATCCCAGCACTTTGGGAGGCCAAGGTGAGTGGATTATGAGGTCAGGAATTTGAGACCAGCCTGGCCAACATAATGAAACCCCGTGTCTACTAAAAATACAAAAAATTAGCCAGGCATGGTGGTGGGTGCCTGTAATCCCACCTACTTGGGAGGCTGAGGCAGGAGAATCACTTCAACCTGGGAGGCAGAGGTTGTGGTGAACCGAGATGGCACCATTGCACTCTAGCCTGGGCAACAGTTCGAGACTCCGTCTCAAAAAAAAAAAAAAGAAAGAAAGAAAAAATGCTTAGGCCGGGTGTGGTGGCTCACGCCTGTAATCCAAGCACTTTGGAGGCCAAGGTGGGCGGACCTCCTGAGGTCGGGAGTTGAAGAATAACGTGACCAACATGGTGAAACCCCGTCTTAAAAAAAAAAAAAGAAAGAAAGAAAAAATTTTCAGTACCAAACATGGAAAACAGTAGACCTCAGTGAAAGCTGTGATGATTTCCAGTCCAAGTCCTGCTTGTGAATGAACTGCCATTTGGTAGTCACTTACCTGTTCCACGAAGTGGAGGAACTTTGAACCCATTCCTTCTAGCTTGCTCTGGATGTGGTATGGCCTGAGACTCTGAACTGCACCTACCCCATTTCTGGTGTCCCAGGCTCGAGTAATGCTGAGCGTATTTGGAGACTAGGAAAGGCACTGCATGCTAATGATGTTCCCATCCCGTGTCACTTGTCCCAGGCTTACCCAAGGTCCAGCCTAGCCCCTAGACACCATGTCAGACAGTGATCTAGGTGAGGACGAAGGCCTCCTCTCCCTGTCGGGCAAAAGGAAGCGCAGGGGAAACCTGCCCAAGGAGTCAGTGAAGATCCTCCGAGACTGGCTGTACTTGCACCGCTACAACGCCTATCCCTCAGAGCAGGAGAAGCTGAGCCTTTCTGGACAGACCAACTTGTCAGTGCTGCAGGTAAGGAGGGGATCTGGATGAAGGGGTGACAGAAGGACCTGGGTTCTAGTCCTGTCCCAGCCGTGTCACTGACTCACTAAGTCTTGGGCCAGTCACTTCCGTTGTCTGGGCTTCAGTTTCTTCTTGGGTTGGGGAGAATATCCATTCTCCGTGTCTTAAAAGAAGAGAATGAAATAGGGTCACTGAGGTCAATTTCAGACTTTGGAGAGTTCTGAAGAGGCAAGGAATTAAATGTCAAAGTCTAGGTGTCATCATTAACTTTGGAGCCCAAGGGAAGATGAGAAGGCATCGTGAGTCTAAGATTTGGTCCCCAGCCCCAAAGCAGTATTGGACGGCGACTTGGTTGCAAAGGGCAACTGTGATTTGCAGTGTGGTTAAGAGATGAGGCAGAATCACAGTCCAAGAAAGAGCAGAGTCGGAGGTTGTGCGTTTATAACCCAGTTCTGCTTCACGTCTTGATTTCCTCATCTGTAAAGGGGCAGGGGGCACAGAATCCTCCCCTGCCTGGTGGAACTGTTGTAAGGAATAGATTCAGAACCGGATATGAAAGTGCTTTGGAAGCTATACACATGAACACACTCAAAAGATAGCCTTATCCCCTTTTTGTCAGAGTGCAAAGTATTGTCCCCTTTGAATTGCACCTGTTGCTGACCCGCAGGTGTCTTTGTTCTCCTTTCCTGGTACTGAGGCAGGGACCCTGGACCACGATTGCTTTGCCTCCAGTTTGCCTCTCCCCTTCTTGGAAACACATTGTAGGCTCTTAGCCTAACACCAGAAGCCCAGCCCTGCCCTGCTGGCCCCCACTGCTCCCTTCCGGAGCCTACCAAACCTCTCCCCCAAGCCCTCCTGTTTCTCTTTACCCCTCTGTCCTTTCATAGCCTGTTACTCCTTTGGTGCTGTCTCCCCCCCCTTCCCTTATCCCACTCTGAACCTCCCACTTCTTCCCAGCTCCTCTCTTTCCTCCATGTAGAGACATGGTAAGTATTTCAGCCCTCAGAACTCCTGTCACCTGACTTTATACTCTCTGGGCAGTGGTTAATCCGAGTATCTGTATGAGAAAGGCTCTAAAGTTACAGATCCTGACTCAGATTCCATCTTCTCCACAAGAGGAAGCCTGGACTTTGGCCAAGTCACTGCCTTCTCTCTGAGCTTCATTATTCCCTCATCTGAAAAAAAAAGGGAGGTGAGTGTAGCATTTTTAAGAGTGTAGGGAGGAAGGGACGAGAAGAATTCAAGGCTCACTGGGACCCTGCACAGTGGCTCACGCCTGTAATCTCAGCACTTTGGGAGACCTAGGCAGGAGGATCACATGCACCCAGGAATTTGAGACCAGCCTGGGCAACGTAGGGAGACCCCATCTATAAAAAACAAAAAATTAGCCGGGCATGGTGGTACATACCTGTAGTCTCAGCTACTTGGGGGGCTAAAGTGGGAGGATCTCTTGATCCCTGGAGGTGGAGGCTGCAGTGAGCTGTGATTGAACCACTGCACTCCAGCATGAGCGACGGAATGAGACTTTGTCTCAGAAGAAAAGGTCTGGCCCAGTGGCTCACGCCTATAATCCCAGCGCTTTGGGAGGCCTAAGCAGGTGGATCGCTAGGTCAGGAGTTCAAGACCAGCCTGGCCAAGATGGTGAAACTCCGTCCCTACTAAGCATACAAAAATCAGCCAGATGTGGTGGCGAGTACCTGTAATCCCAGCTACTTGGGAGGCTGAGGCATAGCATTGCTTAAACCTGGGAGGCAGAGGTTGCAGTAAGCTGAGATGGCACCGTGGCTCTCCAGCCTGGGCGGCAGAGAGAGACTTCGTCTCAAAAAAAGGCCAGGTTAGGTGGCTCACACCTATAATCCCAGCACTTTGGGAGGCTGAGGTGGATGGACCGTCTGAGGTTGGGAGTTTGAGACCAGCCTGACCAACGTGCAGAAACCCCGTGTCTACTAAAAATACAAATTAGCCCAGCGTGGTGGCGCATGCTTATAGTCCCAGCTATTTAGGAGGCTGAGGCAGGAGAATCGCTTGAACTTGGGAGTTGGAAGTTGTGAGCTGAGATCGAACCATTGCACTCCTGGGCAACAAGAGTGAAACTCTGTCTCCAAAAAAAAAAAAGGCTACTGGTCAGTGTTTGGCACACAGTACGTGTTTCTACTGTTTTCAGATTCATCTTTCTGCCTAAGGTACAAAGTTTTGGGCTGGCCCTCCTGGTTGCCCAGGAGTGCATGGCATTTCACAGTATACCTCCTCAGCATGGAGCTGGGCAGAGTTGGGATCCCAGAGAGGAACCAGACACATTCTTACCCTCAAGGAGTGTCTAGACAGCCTTTTTGCGGGTCTCCTTGCCTTCAGCCTTCAGCCTTGTTCATTTAATCCATTCTTTTGAACACAAAATCCCAAATCTGATAGGGTCAGGCACTTGCGTACTCTCCTGCGCTCAGAATAGAGTCCAAACTGATACTTGCAGCCTAGGTTTGGGGCTGCTGCTTGTATTCCCAGGGCACCTCATCCTGTTCTGTCAAACCACTTGTCACACTCTGTTAGAATTACTTTTTGTCAGGGACACTTTCTCAAATCTGAGAAATATACTAACTCCTTCTATTTTATTTATTTATTTTTTATTTTTTTGAGACAGAATGTTGCTCTGTCACCCAGGATGGAGTGCAGTGGTGCGATCTCAGCTCACTGCAACCTCTGCCTCCTGGGTTCAAGCGATTTTCCTGCCTCAGCTTCCCGAGGAGCTGGGATTACAGGCACCCACCACCGAGCCAGGCTAATTTTTGTATTTTTAGTAGACACAGGGTTTCGTTCTGTTGGCCAGGCTGGTTTCAAGCTACTGACCTCAAGTGATCCACCTGCCTCAGCCTCCCAAAGCGCTGGGATTACAGGTGTAAGCTACCATGCCCAGCCTAATTTTTGTATTTTAAGTAGAGGTGGGGTTTCAATATGTTGGCCAGGCTGGTCTTGTACTCCTGGCCTCAAGTGATACTCCCACCTCCCACCTCAGCTCCCAAAGTGCAGGGATTACAGGCGTAAGCCACCATGCCTGGCCCATCCTATGAAAGAAAACATTTTTCACGGACCCATCTC